GGTTTTGGCTGCAACTGCCACCTCCTGGGTTCAAGTGATTCTCCTGCCTCAGCCTCCTGAGTAGCTGGGATTACAGGTGCCTGCCACCACTCCTGGCTAATTTTTGTGTTTTTAGTAGAGAGGGGGCTTCACCATGTTGGCCAGGCTGGTCTCGAACTCCTGACCTCAGGTGATCCGCCTGCCTTGGCCTCCCAAAGTGCTGGGATTACAGGTGTGAGCCATCGTGCCCAGCAGAAAAATGACTTTCTAAGTCTGCGGGTTCAGCTTCTCCACTAAGATCCTGGGTAGTCCTCCTGGCCCTGGCAGGGGGAACAGAAACACACTGGAGGCTGTGGGGGCCGCAGGGCTGATTGGGGCCCTGAGCCCAAGGAACAAGGAGAGGCAAGCACCCCTGTACCTTGTGTGCATGACATGTGTGTGTATGAACATGTTCCAGTTTGAGTGTGTGCCTGAGTGTGAGGCTGTTTTGTGTGTGCACATGAGAACATGTTCATGTCAGTGTAGAGGAGTGTGTAGGTGTGTGTCCACATGCGTGAAACCTGTGAGCACGAGACGTGTCAGTGTGGATATGTGTGTACATGTAGGTATACGTGTGCGTGCATGTGGGCATGCACGAATTGAGTGTGTACATGTGAGTGACTGTGTGTACACACACGAGGATGTGTGGCCTCTGGGATCCTGTGGCGGCCCTGTCCCTCGCCCACTCCAAGACTCACAGGTTCTGCTGCCAGTCCTGGTAGGAGGCAGCCCCGCAGCACTTCAGCCCGAGCTGGACTTGGTCGAGAAGGAAGCGCAGGTCTGCGTCGTCCTGGTAGTGAACGATGGCCACACGCAGGGTGTGCTCCAGGCTGTCTTGCAGCGGGCCCCAGAGGGCCACCACCAGGGCCCCCGCCAGGGCCTCAAGCACCAGGAAGGCGAGGATGCCCCCGGAGAAGCCATGTAACAGGCAGGTGTTCTCACAGAGGGCGCCCAGGCAGCCAGCCAGGCTCACTGTGCTGACTACCAGCCCCCCCAGTGCCAGCCCCAGCATGGGGTCTACGGGCAGGGGCCCCCCGAGATCACTTCCCAGAGACCCCTTGACGGCCAGGCCCCAGAGCCCGATGGCCAGGGCCAGCAGCCCCAGCAGGGAGAAGAGGAAGTTGGAGAAGAAGATCAGATACTTGATACAGCTGCTTCCTATGGACAGGGAAGGGGCTGGTCCTTTCCCGGGGGTGCCCCTCAAGGCCTGGCGCTTGGTCTCTGGGGGACAGCAGCTGCAGCCCCAGGCGTCCGCCTGGTCCTCCCAGGGCACTGGATCTAGACAGCCTGCGGTGGGTGGACTGTGCACAGAGAGGGGCTTCTGGCCTGCAGTTTCCTGCAGAGGGAAGAGTATCAGGGTGAGACGGCATTCACCCAGACTCTGTGACAACTGGTGAGGGGTCAGGGAAGAGCTCAGTGGCAGAGCCTTCAAGGGATGGGAAGATGCTGGATGGCGGAGGGCAGAACTGGAGCTCAGAGATGTGGACAGCCAGGGGCAGGGGGCCCTCAGGGCTGTCCTGCTTGGCTGGGCAGCAGAAGGGACCATGAGGGCCCCAACTCTGCTGCCTACTGGTGTGTGGGCCCCCACCTTTAGAACATGGTGATGAGCAGACCCTGAAAGGCTGTGGTGAAGACCAGGCAGGGTGGCGCTCAGTGAACACACCCACTCTCTCCCGTCCTGCGTGTGGGTGGCTGCGGCCTCCCCGGGTCAGGGCCACCTTGGCTTTCCTGCAGTGCACAGGCAGGGCTGCTTCCCCAGCATTTGAAACAGCGTCTGTCTGGATTAGTCTGTATGTGCCTGCAGCATGGACCTTGTGTAAAGGGGCTTCCTCACCAGCCAGAGGGGCTGGCCCACATGGCTGCCCTTTCCCTTCCCCTCTGAAACCAGTCCTCACATCCCAGCACCCCCTCATTCAGCCCCACCAACAGCCCACACCGAGTGTGGACATGGCACTGAGCCCTGCTGCCAAGGACAGGACAGTCCCCTGCCCAACAGGCTCCCAGGACAGGGAGGAGGGTGCCCAGGAGCTCAGGGAGACCATCTGAGGGCTTGCATGGCCTTCAGAGGGGACTCCCTGGCCCACTGGCAGGAAAGGCCTGCTGGTCTCTCTCTGTGGGGAAAGAGGCAGCCCTGCAGGTGGCCAGTTCTGCTGGGAACAGAGGATTTTTAAAAAGGAGAATAAGGAGCCATGGCTGGGCTGGACGCTGTGGCTCATGCCTGTAATCCCAACACTTTGGGAGACTGAGGCGGGTGGGTCACCTGAGGTCAGGAATTCAAGACCAGCCTGACCAACACGGAGAAACCTCATCTCTACTTTAAAAAAAAAAAAAAATTAGCTGGGCGCAGTGGCACACGCCTGTAATCCCAGCTACTCGGGAGGCTGAGGCAGGAGAATTGCTTGAACCCAGGAGGCAGAGGTTGCGTGAGCAGAGATCGCACAACTGCACTTCAGCCTGGGTGACAGAGCAGGACTCTATCTGAAAAAATAAATAAATAAAAATAAAAAGAAGCCATGGCTGTGCGCTGGGCAAGGATCCCATTCCAACCCAGTTTCACCAGGAAGAAGCTGATTGCAGCCTCAGGCTCTCGGCTCACTGCAGCCTCAGACTCCCAGGCTCAAGCCTTCCTTCCTCTTCAGCCTCCTGAGTAGCTGGGACTACAAGCACTGCCACCATGTCCCGGTAATTTTTTAAAATTATTTTTTGTAGGTCGGCCATGGTGGCTCATGCCTGTAATCCCAGCACTTTGGGAGGCCAAGGCGGGTGGATCACGAGGTCAGGAGATGGAGACCATCCTGGCCAACATGGTAAAAACCCGTCTCTACTAAAAAAATCAGCTGGGTGTGGTAGCGTGTGCCTGTAATCCCAGCTACTCCGGAGGCTGAGGCATGTGAATTGCTTGAACCCAGGAGGTGGACATTGCAGTGAGCCAAGGTTGTGCCACTGTACTCCAGCCTGGTGACAGAGCGAGACTCCATCTAAAATATATATATATATAACATTTTTTGTAGAGACAGGGTCTCGCTACATTGCCTAGGCTGGTCCTGAACTCCTGGGCTCACGCAATCCTCCCTCCTCAGTCTTTCAAAGTGCTGGGATTACAGGGGTGAGCCACCGTGCCCGGCCCCAGAGGAGGGTTATTTATCACCCCCAAGACCTCAACAAGTCACTTGAAGCAAAAGGACAGGCTGCCAGTGCCTAGTTGGCCAGACTGGGGCTGCTGGAGGCCAGAAGCCGTTGGAGGCTGGCTGCAAGGGACGTTTGCCTTCACCCCCTCCTGCACCCTGAGCCAAAGGTTGCCCCCAAGGCCCTCAGGGGGACCTGGCAGATCCCCTGACCAGAGGCCAGCATGGGGCTGAGAGAACTGTAGCAGTGGGGAAGCGGGAGGGGGCTGCCTAGAACCACCCCCCAACCCGATCTCAGCATTGAGGTGTGGGGTGGCACCAGGGGCGGGCGTGGGTGTGAACCCAGCCCAGGGACTGCCCTTGGGACCTCAGGGCTGGGGACATCTCCAGCCTCAGGGCAAGGCCACTTGACACTGCTCACCTGGGACAGTAAGGGGCTCCTCTCCCCTTCCTCCATCCCTGATGCTGGAACAGAAAGCCCCCAGCACAGGCGCCGGGAGAGGTTCGCTGGCTCCTCTGCGGCTGGGCTGCTGGGCTGGTCCTGACCGTGGCCTTGGGCTGGTCTGTGAACGGTGCAGCCCTGGGCATGGAAATGGAGGAGCTGCGAGCCCCACCCAGATGCCGGAGTCACAGTTGAGTCATGTGAAGAATCACATTTTAGAGCTTAAGGCGGCCTCTGCTTGTGGAGACACATTTCTCCCCAGCCCTGGCTCTGTGGATCCCTTAAGCTCTGCGCAGGTGCGATGTTTGGGGGCCAGCCTTGTGGCTGTCACTGCAGGGCCCCCAGGCGGACTTCCACTCTGCAGGGGCAGCAGCTGCTCCATCAGCTCCCAACCAGGGAATCAGACCCTGGCAAATTGGTTCACAACCCCAATCCCAAGAGACCCATCAGCAGCCCCAGTGCCAATCTATCCCCCAGGTTTGTCCACTGCACGAATGAAGCAGCGTCCACCCACCAGATCACCTCCTTCCTGATTTTTGTTTTTGTTTTTGAGACTGAGTTTTGCTCTTGTTGCCCAGGCTAGAGTGCAATGGCGTGATCTCGACTCACTGCAACCTCTGCCTCCCGGGTTTAAGTGATTCTTCTGCCTCAGCCTCCCTAGTAGCTGGGATTACAGGCATGTGCCACTGCGCCCAGCTAATTTTCTGTATTTTTAGTAGAGATGGGTTTCTCCATGTTGGTCAGGCTGGTCTCGAACTCCCAACCTCAGGTGATCCGCCCACCTTGGCCTCCCAAAGTGCTGGGATTACAGGCACCGTGCCCAGCCCTCCTTCCTGGTTTTAAGGTACTGGGCTTGGGGCTCCCCCACCCCCTGAGCCTCTCAGGAGCAGGAATGTGCTGTGGTCACTACTGTGTGCTTATGCCTGGACTAGAGTGCTCTGGGATCTCTAACGTGGGATGCCACCTGCCACCAATTCTGTGCCACCTTGGGCATGCCCCCTCCCCAGCCTTGCTGGTTCCATGTGGGATGTGTGAGGTGTAGGTATGTCTGTCAAAGGTGCTGGGAGCTCATGAGACCTCTGGAGGTCTCGGGCAGAGGAGACTTCAAGGAGAGTCTCTGCTTCAAGAAGAGCCTCTGCACATGTTTTCATGGCAAGAGAAAGAGTGAACACCTGGGATCCGCCGCACACCACATGCTGTTTCCACCGTCACCTTGCCCCTACGCGGGTGTGTCAGCTTCTTTTGTTTGACTCTCTCCTTAGCTGTATCCACCGCTGATCTTGCTCACCACTTGACGATCCAGCCGAACAGGCGGCTTGCTGGTCCCGGGCCTGGCATCCATGTGTTCCTGACCTTTGCTGTTCCCTGAAATCTCCTCACTGTGCCGTCCCTGTCATCTGGAGCCCTCCCTGTCTCCCCAGCCAGCTTCAGACCATCTCCTCCACAAAGGCGTCTTCTCCAGCCCGAGGAGCTGTAGCCCACCCTCTCCTGGGCTTCTGGAACACCTTTTTCCTTTTACAGTATTACAAGGTGCTTGACTTTGCTTCACTTGGTAGTTGTCTGTGTTCTTGGTTCATGTCTCCCTACTGGCTTCCCACAGAACAATATGATTTGGGCATAAAAGAATGAAGTTCTTTTTTCTGAGACGGAATCTCGCTCTGTCACCCAGGCTGGAGTGCAGTGGCACGATCTTGGCTCACTGCAACCTCTGCCTCCTGGGTTCAAGTGATT